ACTAAAATTCACCACTCCCCCCCTCCCCGTTTTTGTTTTGCTGTTTTTGAGACAGGGTTTCTTCCTGGCTGGCAGTCCTGGAACTCACTCTGTAGACCCGGCCAGCTTTGAACTTAGATATCTGACTGCCTCTGCCTCTCTAGTTCTGGGATTAAAGGCCTGCGCCATCACCATGTGGGAGCCTGTTTTCAGGTTCCTAGTGGCTTTACCCAGCAGGTCTGCACACAGAAGTTGATGGGACCACGGGCCTGAGTGCAGGTGTCTGAGATGTCTGCACTTGGCTGTGCTGGGGGGAGGTCTTTTGCTCCACTCCTTGGCATTTCTATAAATGCTGTAGGGCAGAGACAGGGCTCATTGGAATAGTTTCCAAGCCCTCTCGAGGCTATCCTGTATTTTCTATTTGTCTCCACAATCTAAATCCTTCTAATATTTCCTGCTGCTCTCACTCAAGAAAACTCTGGGAAACTGTGGGGTTGGTGAGTAAACGCCTTGCACCACCATCTGGCATCTCTTCCCTTTTTGAGACAAGTCCAACTCTTGTAGCCCAGCTAGCCTGGAGCTCATGGTAGATCTGAGTCTAGCCCTCCCCCTGCCCCCCTTTTCTTCCATTTAGCAGCATGTGCTTAAGGTTCATCCATTTTTGCATACAGCGTTTTCCTATTATGTATACGTGTTTTGCCTGCAGGTATTACCTGTGCACCACATGCATGCCTAGTACCTGTAGAGGCCAGAAGAGGGTTTTGGATCCTCTGGACCTGAGTTACAGATGAGTGTTAGCCACCATGTAGATGCTGGGAATTGAACCCAAGTCCTGAAAGAACAGCATGTGATCTTAACCTGGTAAGCCATCTTTTTAGTTACCCGACCTCATCCCCCTACTTTTGAGCACACCTTGCTGTGTGGTTCTGGCTTGTTTGGAACTGCCTAATACTAGGTAGACCAGGTTGACCTTGAATTTGCGACTTTCCACTTGTCTCTGCTTCCCCAGCACTGCTGGGATTACAGGCTGGCCTGGCTTTGTTTTGCTACATACTCTATGCTTGCCTCCCAATTTGAGGCAATCCTCCTTCCTCTCAAGTCTTGGGATTACAGGTGTGCACTCCATTTTTTTAATTTAAAGATAGTCTCACTGTACAGCCCGTTAGCTGCAGATGTGCAATGCAGTCACCTGCCGTGCCTGGCTAAAGTTTGCTATGTATTCTATGTATTTGTGTACACACACACACACACACACACACACACACACACACACACACGGTATGGACTAAAAGAAAAGCTACCTTTTCAAAGGTATCAGGGCTGGAGAGATAGCTCAGCAGTTGAGAGCACTGGCTGTTCTCCCAGAGGACCCGGGTTCAATTCCCACTACCCACACAGCTCACCAAACTAACTCCAGTTTCAGGGGATCTGGCACAGATGTTCATACAGGCAAAGCACCAATGCACATAAAAATATATTTTAAAATTTATAGAACAAAAGACACTGACCTGACCTGGGAAGACTAAAACTAGATGAAACATACAAATCCAAATGGCTATATCATATATAATAAAACATTTGGTTGCCTCCCCCATAATCAGACCTTGGATATACGGCCAAAGTGACTGGCGCCCTTGGAACACTAAGTTCTAGCTGAAGCCTAAGCAAGCACAGGTGCTGCTTCCTAGGTAGGCTAACAAACTGGCTGGCATTAAAGAAACAGGATCATCTGGCCCATTTGGCTACGTTCATCCCCTAGTCTACCCATAAAGGCTAGTCAAGGGGCCACATTAGTCACCCCAATCCTGCTCTTGAATCATACTGTGTACCAGAAAAGGATATGGCATTACTAGACACAATTCAGTTACTATGGATGGATTGCTTTATTAATGTTAAATAATGGCCAGGTCAGTTACATCAGCAAACATTTTTATTGTATGAAATATGTCCATCTTTAACCTCCCGTAACCAGCTTACAAAATAACTTTGTGTTTTATAGCACTTTCATTAATGTTCAAAACTAATGATTATTGAAAATTTCCAAAGTACTGAAATCTAAGATTTAAATGTCCTAAGTCAGCTTTTAACCTACAAATTCCAAAACTACATGGGTTACACATATAGCCTCCCACCCACCCATACACCTGAGGCAGAGTCTTGATGTAGCTCAGACTAGCCTAAACAGATGACTTTGAATTTCTGAGCTTCCTGCCTCCTCTTTCAAGTGCTAAAATTAAATGTATGTCTGTGTGCCACAAGGCCATGAAGGCCAGGTGTTGGATCCCCTGGAACTGGAGTTCTATACTGTTGTGAGCCACCATGTGTGTATTGAGACTTGATCTCACTGCACTTAACTGCTGATTCATTTCTTCATCTGCTCTCCTCTTTCCTCTGCTGCCTTTCCCAGTATTAGGATTATATGTGTGTAATAGTGTAATAGCACATGTGCTGAAAACTTAAGAGAGATCTGGCAGGTTTTGTAGTCTTCATTTTTCTTTTTTGGTTTTTCTGTGAAGTTTTGGTGCCTGTCCTGGATCTCCCTCTGTAGACCAGGCTGGCCTCAAACTCACAGAGATTCACCTGGCTCTGCCTCCCGAGTGCTGGGATTAAAGGCGTGCGCCACCACCGCCTGGCTTCAGTCTTCATTTCTTATCCTTGCTTTCTAACCTACAGTAAGCAGACAAGGTTAAGCCTGTGATTTGGTGTACTTTATGAGTAAAGTATTCCAAATTAACTTTACACATGGGCTTGGGTAGCAAATCTACAAATTGATCTTTTTTTTCTTTTTCAAGTTTTTTCCTATCTTGTTTACTTGTAAAAACATCATAGGATATCGGGGACTATGGGGGCCCAGCCCCTCGATAGTCCCCTCCCAGGGTCCAGGAAGAATCTACAACCAGCTGATAATTAATCTTTGATGAAAAGAAATGAATCTATGTACACGAAACTCCTTAGTTCATACACTTTATTATTCTGTGATAGTCCTCTCTCTGCACAGCTTCTATTCTGCTCTCATGTCTAGCTCCGTTCTTGCCTGATTTCTCTCTATATTTGTCTACTGTCCCCTCTAGGTTCTATCTTAATTCCTTATCTAGTTCTGTCCCTTCTGGGTTCTCATCTATCTAGTTCTTTCTGCTATCAGCTCCTCTCCCGTCTCCTTCTCTCTCATCTGGCTCTTCCACATCTTCCATCTCGTTCCTCTAGTCCTCTCTTCTAGCCCTTCAATCTAGTTCTTCCCCATCTCAGTTTGTTCCTCTCAAGTTCTTACCCATCTCGTTCTTTCATTCTCTTTTCTCTTCTCCTCCCTCTGCCCTGGAAGTCCCGGTATATATAAGGAGGGTCCGAGCTGAATTGTGTAAAGCTATTACTTAACGTCCACCTGACCTAGGCGGTGTCTCCTTGTGGAATTTACCTTAAGTCAGGAGACTCACCTGTGGGTGGTTATCACTGTTAGTCCTCGGAAGTTGGGCGACCACCTGGGTGGTGTTTCCTGTAGTCGTTGAAAGTGGCCAAGGGAGATATCTGATTCCAGAGAAAGCCTTTCCTGAGGCTGTTCTCCAAATGCCTGGAATGTGTATGTCTAGAGAGTGATCAGTCCACATTGTTAGCCCTTCTTAGGGAAAAGTCAATTGGGAAAACTATGAAGGCACACATGATTTTCATAACAGAAGACAGCTGATATATAACAAGCCAAGTAACACCAAAAACTCCTTGGGATTTGGCTTCCTCTGGAGGAATTCCCTGATTCCTCCAGGTAGTGACTTTGCCATAACCAGCTAAGTTCTTATGATATATTCCTTCGGCCTACAGCAATAGGACACTAGCCCCTTGCACACAATATGGGGATGGGGTTGTCACATTAACTCATCTATTTGCATACTAGCAGACAGGCCTTCTGGGGCCTTGATAACCCTCAGCGTGTCCACTCACTGACTGAATTGTCTGTCTTCTTCCGGAGTTGGTTCTTAAAAAGGCCTCGATGGCTTCAGCACCCTCCTCAGACTTCTTGACAAACTAACATGCTCATCAGGCATTTGGAGCAGCCCCCTTGAGATTTTATCTTTATACTTGGGTTTCTTGATGGTGTTTCTGGACTGGAAAAGTGCAAGCTTCCCCTTAAAGATTTTGCTTGGGGAGGGGCACAGAGAAGGTCTGGGTACTAGCGGAGGCCAGAGAGGGCATTAGACACCTTGAACTGCAGTTACAAGCATCAGGCTGATGTGGGTATAGGGAGTCAAACTCAGGTCCTCTACTACAAGAGGAGCAAACCTCTGGGCCATCTCTCCTGCCCCTGAATACTTTGTTTCTAAAGCCCAAGGACAATTTTACCAGAGTTTGAGAGAAAAACAGGACAAGCAAGTTGTAAATGTCTGCAGCTGCCAGCAAGAGGGAGCTGGAGAAGAGAGAAAGAAATACCATTTGGTTAAAAGCAAGCAGGCAGGAATGGTAGAGCTTCAGAGAACAAGTGAGACAGTCCAGTGTCGGGGAAGAGGGCAGGCCAAGGAGCACAGGCTTTGCAAGTGGCTGTCTTTGTTTCCTTGAGACCAGGTCTCATTGTGTAGCCAATTTAATCTTGAGCTCCTGATCCTCCTGCTTCAGCCTCTTTTTCTTTTTTTGGTTTTTCAAGACTGGGGGTCTCTGTGAAGCCCTAGCTGCCTGGAACTTGATCAGACCAGGCTGGCCTCAAATTCAAGAGATCCACCTGCCTCTGCCTCCCAGGTGCTGGGATTAAAGGTGTGCATCATCACTACCCAGCCTTGCTTCAGTCTTTTTTTTTTTTTTTTTTTTAAAAAGGCAGTTTTGCCGGGCGGTGGTGGCGCACGCCTTTAATCCCAGCACTCGGGAGGCAGAGCCAGGCGGATCTCTGTGAGTTCGAGGCCAGCCTGGTCTACAGCGCAAGATCCAGGAAAGGCGCAAAGCTACACAGAGAAACCCTGTCTCGAAAAACCAAAAAAAAAAAGGCAGTTTTATTTTCACTCATGACTTAGTGACTTAGACTCTTAACATTTTAACTAAAAAAAAAGTGGTTAAAGATTTATTTATTTATTATATACACAGAAGAGGGCGCCAGATCTCATTACAGATGGTTGTGAGCCACCATGTGGGTGATGGGAATTGAACTCAGGACCTCTGGAAGAGCAGTCGGTGCTCTTAATCTCTGAGCCATCTCTCCAGCCCCCTTGCTTCAGTCTTTTAAGAGATGGATTACTTAAAATCTGTATCACCCCTCAGTTTCAGGCTTAGTTTTGACTTAATTATTAACCTGATGAATGCTATATGTCCTGTAGAAATAAGCTTACTGTATAAAGCCTCAAAGAGAACTATACATTGTTTTTTAACAATTTTGACTAGATACATAAAAAAGCACAACTGTAACCTTTGTCTTGCAGGGACAAATCTAAAATAATCTAACAATGCTCACAGGTGTTATTTTTATCTCCTTTTATGCTCTCTAAGCTTCTTCTAAAGTCCTCTATGAAATGGAAGTTACAGTTCTCGAAGTTTCTTTGTATCCCACATAAGCACTAACTGGTTTGGTGCTCCGTTACTGCTGCCTGTTTTTGCTGAGTGGTCTTCACAAATCTGAGCAGATTGACAATGGCAGCTGGTGTCACTCCAGGGATACGACTAGCAGCCCCAATCTAGGAGTTAAATGACAAAAGAACCAAAGTGAGCTACATCCCATCCAATCTGCTCTCCTCACAATCTCTATAGTACAGATTATAAAGTATTTAGATTCTGAGTCGGGGTGTGGCCACACAGACCAGATTGGGTTGGAATTTTGGGGTGAAAGAGATCCTCCTTCACTTCAGTTTCCCAAGCTGATAGCTAGGACTATAGGCAGGTGCCATCACACCCAGCTATTAAAAAATTATCTGTGAGTTGGGTGATGGTGGCATATGCCTTTAGTCCTAGCACTCGGGAAGCAGAGGCAGGTGGATCTCTGAGTTCCAGGCTAGCCTGGTCTACAGAGTCAGGACTACACAGAAAAACCCTGTCTTGAAAAAAATCCCTCTTCCTCCCTCCCCTCAAAACATCTGAGGGCTGGAGAGATGGCTCTGCACTTAAGAGCACTTGCTTCTCTTGTAGAGGACTCACGTTCAGTTCCCAACATCCACGTGGCAGCTCATAACCATCTGTAACACCAGTTCCAGGGGATCCAATGTCCTCTACATCTGTCTCCCATTGGGTATGCACATGGTGCACATACATACAGGCAAAATATTCATACCATAAACAATTTAAATGTCATTAAAAGTAAGTTTGTAAGCAGATAATGGAAATATGACATTATGTCTTCAGCTGAGAAGTTAAAACAGTGTGTGCAAGATCGAAAGTAAGCGGGACATGAATGTAATCACGGCACTTGGGGGGGGGGGGGGGGGGGCATCAAGCCAGAAGGACTGCAAGTCTGAAGCAGCTTGGCCACACAGGGAGACCGTGTTTCAACAAACAAAAACACTTCCAGGTCTTGGCACACACCAGTAATTCTAATTCTAGGAAGACCAAGACAGAAAGATCTCAAGTTCAAGGCCAGCCTAGGCTATGAAGACTCTCTAATCATCTTTCTCCCCAGTCCCATAACATGTTATAATATCTTTTTCTTTCCATTAAGAAGATCTGTGGGAGGCCTGAAGAGATGGCTCACTGATTAAGAGCACTTGTTGCTCTTGTAGAGGATCAGAGTTTAACTCCCAGCACCCACAAGGTAACTGCTCACAACCACCCATAACTCCAGTTCCAGGGGATCCGAATCTGATAACCTCTTCTGACCTCCAGAGGCACCTGGCATGCATGTGGTATACATAAGCACATGCAAGGAAAACACTCATAAAACAACAGACCTTTCCCCCTTTTTTTGGGTTTTTCGAGACAGGTTTCTCTTTGTAGCTTTGCGCCTTTCCTGGAATTCACTCTGTAGACCAGGCTGGCCTCAAACTCGCAGAGATGCACCTGCCTCTGCCTCCCGAGTGCTGGGATTAAAGGCGTGCGCCACCACCGCTCCTGCTCTTTTTTTTAAGAAAGAAAGTATGTGGTATGGATGGCAATTAACACAGAGACTCACAACTGGTCAACATGCAGAAAATGAGGTATGAGTGCTCAGCCCTAAACGAGTCATCTGTATCATCAACACTCCTCCCTTCAAAGCTCAGGGACCTTTGAGGAAGAGGGATGGAAAGATGCTAAGACTGGATGACTTAAAGGAAGCGGTGTTTTCAGAACACAACAGACAAGACCTGTCTAAATTCAAGCCAGGCAAAATCTCACGATGGAGGGGGGAAGGAGGAGGGGGAGGGGAGCACAAAGTTCCACCTCTAGCTCAGACTTATTGGCTTTTCATAATTACTGGGAAAGAGAAAAATCAGTTTTGTTTTCTGTTTTTGTTTTTGGTAAGAAATAAAATTTTATGCTTACATTAAACTGTTTGCCTCAGTGGTCCCCCCACAATAAGAGGTGTGCACTGATGCTTTAGCACATGGTCAGGATAAGAGTATAAATGCAATCAAACCAAGTCTTAAAAAAAAAAAAAAAACAATTTTTTTCAAGAACAATGTTCTTTTTAGATTAATGTCATGAATGTTTTTGAATGTATGTAAGCACACCATGTACACGCAGTGCCCTCAGAGGTCAGACGGGGGCATCAAATTCCCTGGAACTGGAGTCTGTTGTGAGCCAACATGGGAACCAAACCAGGGTCCTTTACAAGAGCAGCAAGAACTCCAGCCTCAAGTTTAAGTTTCTCAAGATCACTCATGTGACCATTCTAAGTCCAGGATTAAAAACGAAAGCACTAGCCCCTTTGGGCTTTGCTTACAACTTGCTTCTTCCCATTGCTGGCTTGCTTACTGTCTGTGGGCGACTCAAGTGTAGCTTCTCTCGAACTTCTTGGGACAATGACACATCCCTGATTGTTAGATAATCTAGGTCTTGTGGCAGTTGGAAAGCTTCATCTCGCTGAACCTCCTTTATTTCTTGTAGTTGATACAGCAAGACTGACTCATAAGTAGCTGGAAAAAAAAATTAGAATTATGATACATATATTACACTAACAAACTATATTTATATAACTCTTTACAAATGGCTTCTGCATGCATCATCTCATTCAATACTTGATACTTTGAGACAGGTAGGGTAGATAATCTTTATTTTTGAGACAGAATCTTATGCAGCCTAGGCTAGCCTCAACCTTGCAGTGTAGTGAGGATGACCTTGAATTCCTAGTTGGTGTTCCTTTTTGACGTGAAGAAACTGAAGATTATTATGCAGATGAACTACATATAACTAAGGATGACTTGAAACTCCTGATTGTCATCTGGACTCCATTGCCAAAGCGGTAGTACTACAGGGGTCTGCCTCCACGCCCTGCTGAATCTGACTTTCCAGTCAGTGCAAATGTTAAGTCCTAAAGACGGCTGTTTCTCCTAGAAAATGGTTCTCTAAGTTTTTCCACGTGAAGCTGAGTGTGTGCATATGTGTGTGGTCCCAGGAATTAATCCCATGGCCTATACACATCAGACAAGTAGCTCTACTACCCAGCCCCAAAGCAATAATTTTTAGAAGTGGTGTTGCTTGGTTGGCAAACATAACTTATGTAATTTAGTTAAGGTTGTTATTGAGAAGTAATGTTATGAAGAGAGCTTGGCAATTATTTTGTCATGCATCCTATTCTTAGAAAAATTAAGTCAAAACTTAAGAAAACACATACTCTGCCATTACTACTGTGTATGTTCCTAGCCCTTTTTATACTTTTTAGACATTGTCTCACGAAGTTGGCCAGGAAGACCTTTTACAACTCCTGCCTCAGCTCCCAAGTGCTGGGATTACACAGGAATGCTTCACTACACCTGGCACAATTTTATGATTCACAAATAGCCCTCAAGGTATAATGGAATGTGATGGTTAATACTGATCATTGATTTGACAAGATTTAAAATCCCTGCAGAAACTACTCAGTATGTCTGTCACAATGGAGGGAGTTGAGTGCTGGCATCTCTGTTTCCTGAATGTGGATGAATGTGACTGCCTTATTTCCAGGAAACCACACAGATTAGCTGCTCTCATTACCATGCCTTTCCTTCCCTCCAGGATGAACTTTGTTTCCTCAAGTCATGAGCCAGAATTCATTCATCTGGATGAATAACACTGCAGGTGGTTCTCTGGCTTTGGCATGTATAAACCCTTCCTTGAGTGGCTTTTTAAAAAAATAATTTATTTCTATTTTATATTATCTGGTGTTTTGTCTGTATGTATGTCTGTATGAGGGTGTCAGAAGCCCTGGAACTGGAGTTATAGACAGTTGTGAGCTGCCATGTGGGTGCTGGGAATTGAACCTGGGTCCTCTGGAAGAGCAGCCCGTACTCTTAACCGCTGAGCCATCTCTCCAGCCCCTTGAGTGGTATCTTGCCAGGTAATCTGTCACAGCAACAAGAGTTATATATTAACTATGTCAATACATGGGATAGCTGAGATCTTGCAGATGGCCAGGGCACATTTACTTAATCTCTCAAATATAAACTGCATAACAAGAAAGATAATACAATGTGACACTGACTTCTGCCCTCAAGAATCTTGTCTAGGGGTTGGCATGGAGCTCAGCTGGCAGAGGGCTTGTGTGGTATGCTTGTGTCCCAGGGCGACTCTAAATCCTGTCAAGTTCACAGTCGACATTAGCCATCACATCCCACCACTGCACAAAACCAGGAACAGCGTGAAAATTTCCCATCTATGTTGTACTTTAACCCAAAGTGGTCTCTCTTAAACCTCAAGGGGGTGCTGGAATTTTTATAAGCACTAGTCCTCACAGAGCAAGGGGCAGCTATGCCATGGTTGAATTATTTTCTGTAAACAAGTTAATGATAAATGCTTCTGGACTATGCTAATTGAAACCTAATATTTACTGAACAAAGTAAAGCTGTACACCAAGTTTAAGATATGTAATCTAAGCAGCTGTTTCCAGCCCCACACCCTAAATATCTAAAGAAACTCTTTAGTAGAGAAATCATAATGGTGAAATAAAGTCTATTCTTCCTGTATGTTGTCACTAGTACTGACTGGCTTGAGTTTTGTTTTTTTAGATATTAAAAGTTATTTATTTATTTATTTATTTATTTATTTATTTTGGTTTTTCAAGACACAGTAGTTTTTGTTTTCAGTGTAGTTTTTGGTGCCTGTCCTGGATCTCACTCTGTAGCCCAGGCTGGCCTCGAACTCACAGAGATCCACCTGGCTCTGCCTCCCAAGTGCTGGGATTAAAGGCGTGGGCCACCGCCACCCTACAAGTTATTTTGTAATCATGTGTGTGTCTGTGGTGTGTATGCATGAGTGCAGGTGCCTGTGGATCCCCTAGAGCTAAAGTTATAGGTGGTTGTGAGCCACCTGATGTGGGTCCTGGGAACTGAACTCTGGTCCTCTGGAAGAGCGCATGTGCTCTTCACCACTGAGCCATCTTTCCAGGCCCATCTAGGTTATTTTTAAATCAAATTTAATGTTTTAATAGTGGGTCATTTGGAAAAATGTTTCTAGAATTTCTGGTAGGTTTGCTTTCATTACTAGCCTTTTATAAAATTACATAATGGTGAGGCTGGAGAGGTGGCTCAGAGGTTAAGTGCCCTCTTCTGGCATATAGGCATACATGCAGGCAGAACACTATATATATAATAAATACATAAATCTTTAAAAAAATGACATACTGGAATGACAGGCAACACATGGGTCATTCTACACACACAGCCCAAGCACAGTAAGCTGACAGTCTCTGTGGAATTGAAAGAGAACACCAACCCTGGACGGAATGCACCATTCTTTTTTTTGGTTTTTCGAGACAGGGTTTCTCTGTGTAGCTTTGCGCCTTTCCTGGGACTCACTTGGTAGCCCAGGCTGGCCTCGAACTCACAGAGATCCGCCTGCCTCTGCCTCCCGAGTGCTGGGATTAAAGGCGTGCGCCACCACCGCCCGGCGGAATGCACCATTCTTAACACCCTGGCTGGTCCCCAAGGAGTTTAAGGTCTTCTCCTGCATAAACAGCAGACCATCATCCAATTTTTCCTACTGTTCCCATAAGCATCCCGTTCTGTGCCCTTTCCAACGGCTTGGTTTCTACTGGAGGACAAACCTATAAAAACTCAAAGCCAATGTTATCCTCAGGCATGCGCCACTATGCTCAGCAAACAGTGCTCTCGGTAGGTCTACTGCTCATCATCGTTTGCACATACAGAAAAGAGAACACAGGCATCTAAGGGAAACAACTCTCTTTTACCTTCTATTTTCAGTCTTCTAGCCAGATCTCTAGAAGTAGTATACTTCTTCAAGGGTTCAGGAACAGCATTGGCTAGTAACTCCATGTCAACTTCTTCATACTTAAGAACATCTAGAGCACTGCCAATGTAAAAAGTTTTATCAACACAAGGATCCATATTCTGTAAGGCAAACTAGGAACAAAATCTCTTGCAATAATACTAAGTATTAGAGTAATTAAAAGAGACTCTTAATTTTCCCTCACGTACAGTTAGTTGCATTGGGCCAGTGGTAGTGCACACTTTTAATCCCAACACTCAGGAGGCAGAGGCGAAAGGATCTCTGAGTTTGAGGCCAGCCTGGTGGTCTACATAACCAGCCAGGAATAAAGAGACTCTGTTGCAAAATAAAGTAAGATAAAATAAGTAAAAAGTGTAGCATCTGCAAAGTAGGCCATCAAAAAATAAATAAATAAATAATTCTCTCTGGGCCTGGTAATGCATGCCTATAATCCAAGTACTTGAGAGGCAGAGGTAGGAGCACTGGGTGTGCCAGGCCAGCCTTTGTTACACAGCAAGCTTGAAGACAGCCTGGGTTACATGAAACCCCAGCTTAAAACCCCCATCCAAAAGTATTGCTTTCCTGACTTCCTATCATCAGACTTATACTGTTGTTAAGGTTTTTAGGCTGTTGTCCTCTTTTTTGTTGACAAAGAATATCCTCTGCTAACAAGGGCTTTGTCATGTCCAGAGGACAGGGAATGTGCTTCACAACTAAGTCTTGTTTAGTGTACTTTGAGTGAGCCATCCTTCTGCATGCTAGGGTTCAGATTTGGTTTGTGTCCCTCAAAGGCTCATGCTCTGGAAGTGCAGTCTCTATGTCACACTGTTGAGGAACACCCTTTAAGAAGAAGGACTGTGACCAGTAGTAACTAGGTCTCTGCTCTTCAGAAGAGGTCAACACTCTGTCATGAAGTTAGTGCTCACACTAGTGACTTCTTGTCAGAAGAGCAAGCCTGACGCCGAGATTTCTGGCTTCCCATCTATCTCTCTATGTGGTCTCGGAAGAGCAGCACATGCTCTTAAACGAAGCAATCCAATCGGTTATAACCCTCAGTAGAGTCAAAGGGAGGAAGCCGCCAGCCTTGAAGTCTCAGCTTCCAAACTGGCAGCCAGATAAACCCTTCTAAAAAATAAAATGTGCAGCCTCAGGTATTTATTATACCATAAAACTGATTAATAGAGCTAGTAAATATATTGATTGCAGCAGTGATAATGTGATGTCCCCAAATTTGTATGTTGGGGCCTAATAACTAAAGAGGTGAGGCCAGCCATAAGGATTAGTGCCCTTATAGGAGCCACCACAGACAGACAGTGTAACAGAGGGAGAGTATCAATGCCATCATGGTATGCACAACGTACCTCTAAAGTACAGAGGATTATTGATGCTGGCTCCCTCTCCTATCTAAATCACATTTTTTTCTTTTTTTTTTTTTTTTTTTTTTTTTTTGGTTTTTCGAGACAGGGTTTCTCTGTGTAGCTTTGTGCCTTTCCTGGAACTCACTTTGGAGACCAGGCTGGCCTCGAACTCACAGAGATCCGCCTGGCTCTGCCTCCCGAGTGCTGGGATTAAAGGCGTGCGCCACCACCGCCCGGCAATCACATTTTTTTCAAACGGAAAAAAAACCATGGTGAAATACACACATTTTATAATATTCAAGGTCCTCAGAACTTCTTTTTGTCCGAGCACTTTGAGGGTGGGGCAGGATGATCAGGGGTACAAGCTCATCCTATTGATGATTGAGCAAGTTTAAGGCTGGCTTGGACTACACAACACAGACACACAAGACTCCGATTGTTCCTGGAGCAAAAATGCTCTCTATGAATGTCCTTTAGACATTTAGGCCATATAACCAAACTGAGGGAAAGGAAATCTCAAACGTGGCATGGGCCTTCAAAAAATTTATAATAAATACAAGTAAGAATTTAGAGTATATAATACTATGAAAAAATTATAATATTATGCTTTTTTGTTTTGTTTTGTTTTTTTGAGAAAGGGTTTCTCTGTGTAGTTCTGGCTGTCTGGATCTTACTCTGTAGATCAGGAGGGCCTTGAACTCAGAGATCCACCTGCCTCTGCCTCCCTAGTGCTGGAATTAAAGACCACCAGGCTTGGGTAATTTTTTTTTTTTTAAATTAAATGATTTTCCTTTATATAGTCCATGTATTAGATGGTATCAATCTAATTGGTTTGAGCCTAGTAAAGAAAATGGGTCCTTCTATTTTTTGGTTTGGAGCCTCTAAAACTGAGGAAAACCAAAAGATCTTAATGGGAACCACAAAGAAATTACACATATACAAAATATTAAGAATTGAATAGATGGCTCAGGGGTTAAGAACACTGACTGCTATTCCAGAGGACCTGGGTTTGATACCCAGGACTCACAGGGCAGCCCATAACCATCTGTAACTCTAGCTCCATGGGACCTTGACACTCTCTCTTCTGGTTCCCTGGGCATGAGACATGCATATGGTGCACATACATACATACATGTAGGCAAAACACCTAAACACATAAAAAATATAATCACACATAAATATATTTCATTAAGAAAAATTTTCACTAGGTATGGTGGTACATGCTTTTACCCCCCCAGCACTTGGGAGGTAGAGACTCTGGAGACTGAATCCAAGGCCTCACTCATGCTAAGCATGCATTCTACTACCACCAAGCTACATGCCCAGCCATATACGTTTTACTTTTCTTTTAAAATTTTATTTTTCAAGATAGGGTCTTACAGAGCCCAGTTCAGATTGATCTGAAGCTCCTGATCCCTGCCTTCACCCTCTAACTGCCGCAATTAATGTCATACATGGCTCACATATTTATGTATATTGAATAGGTCAATGAATTATACTAAAGGCTGCTGAAAAGCTAAGAGAAAGCTGTATTCATCTAAAATGTGTAGGTAGGGGGCCTGTATATGATGTCTCTCTGAAATCTCATTTTTCTGTAAAAACTAAGAAAAGTCTATATTGACAATCATACCTGACAGGAAGGCTTCTATGAATACTTATAGGAGCTTGTGGAATTAACTTTTTCCACTTGGAGCTTGAAAACTCAATGGATTTCAATACAGACATGCCTTCGTCTAAGGAAGACTTCATCCATGACGCTCTTTCATATCGCTGTGGGGACACACAGCCGGCATCCTTATGAGCTAGGAAAGGAAGAGGGAGAAGTTTTAAAGGACAGTAGAGTGCAGGGTGTGTGTGGCAGCACAGCCCTGTAACACAGCACTTAGAGGCAGGACTACAGTCATTCAAGGCTGACCAGGCTATACATGGAGACCTTGTCTCAACAGCCCTTCACCCCAACTTCCCCTTCCCAAGGCAGGCTGTAGTAGCCACCCGCTACTTGAGAGGTGGAGTCAAGAACAGGAATCCAAAGTCACCTTAACTACACTATAAGAGATCCTACAACTACATAAACCAATAACCCAAAAAGCAGTGCAATACCTCAGAGGATTTTGTTAAAAATTACCTCGGGAGGGAGCCAGGCAGTGGTGGCGCACGCCTTTAATTCTAGCACTTGGGAGGCAGAGCCAGGTGGATCTCTGTGAGTTCGAGGCCAGCCTGGTCTACAGAACGAGATCCAGGACAGGCACCAAAACTACACAGAGAAACCCTGTCTTGGGGAAAAAAAAAATTACCTCGGAATGTGAGGCGGATGTCAGCATTATCCGGGCGCAGTGACAAGCGGAACTCTACCCTGCTAGTAAACATGCGGTATGGTTCGCTGGTGCCCAGTGTGGTGAGGTCATCAATCAAGACTCCTATGTAGCCTTCTGTGCGACTTACAACAAAGGGTGGTTTTTGACTGACCCGAAGACTGGCGTTGATTCCAGCTATCACACCCTATAAGAGGACTGGAATGTTTAAGAGGCCATTATGAACTGAACAAATAGCTATTCTATTTAGCATACTACCTGGAAAAAAAACACACACAGGGTAGTGTGGTGGCACACCCCTTTAATCTCAGCACTTGGGAGGCAGAGATTTCTGTGAGTTTGAGGCCAGCCTGGTCTACATACAGAATGAGTTCCAGGACAGCCAGGGCTACACAGAGAAACCCTGTCTCAAAGAACCAAAACACAAATACACAGGGTAGGAAGAAAGCAGGCTCATAAGGAACATAAATGTGTGATGGTTTGAATAAGAGTCCCCAGAGTCTGAATCCTTAGTTATCAGGGAGTGGCACTATTTGAGAAGGATTAGAAGATGTGGCCTTATTGGAGTAGATGTGGGGGTGGGCTTTGAGGTTTGAAAAGCCCAAGTCAGGCCCATTATCTCTCTTTTCCTACTGTCTGCAGATCCTGATATAGACCTCTCGGCTACTTCTCCAGCACTGTGTCTGCCTGCTTGCTACCATGCCCACCCCAGGCCCAGCCAAGATGAGAATGGACTAAGCCTTTGAAAACTGTAAAGCAGCCCAGATTAAATGACTTCTTTTGTAAGAGTTGCTGTGTCATGGTGTCTCTTCACAGCAATAGAACAGTGACCAAGACAGTGATAAAGAATATTATGGGAAAGATTTCATAAAATGTCTCCCTCTAAGACTTAAGGACTTCAATTTGATCCCTAACAGTTTCATGAAAAAGCGGAGCACAGTGCTACAGGCCTGTAATCTCAGCACTGAGAAGGCAGAGACAGTCGGGTCACTGCAACTCACCGCTTAGTCAGTTTAGCCTAACGTGAGTGCGGCGAGAGCTTCCGTCTCAAATGACAAGGTGGAGGGGCAGCTCACAACCACTGATAACTTCAGCTCCAGAGAACTCCTCTCTTGGCATCCTCTGGTACCTGCATTCATGTGCACATACTCCTTTCTATACATTCAAAAAAAAAGAGCTGGGGAAATGGCTCAGCAGTTAAGGCTGTTCTTCCAGAGGCCCTGGATTTGATCTCCCAGCACCTACAGAGTGGCTCACAACCATTTGTATCTCTAGTTTCAGGAGATCTAATGCCCTCTTCCGGCCTCCACAGGCATCAGGAACACAGGTGGTATATAGACATACATGCAGACGCAATACTCATACATATAAAATGAAACTAAAAATAAAATCAGGTGAAGAACAATTGAGAAAGATATCTAATGCTGATCTTTGGCCTCAACATGCATAATGTGCACACACATAACACAGAACGCCAAAATAGTAATAACAACAACATAATAATTTTCAGAATCTTAAAAGAATTAAAATGCTTGTTTTTATACTTCAGAAGCAATTCCATAATTTTTTTTCTCAGTATCCTAGCAGATCTAGGGACTCAGAAACTAGCTGTAAGTGCTTTTAAAATCATCCCCCACAAGCTGGACATGGTACATGTCTGTAATCTTAACACTAGGGAGGCAAAGCAGACTTGTAATCTCAGCACCTGGAAGGTGAGGGTAGAATCGGATTTTCAAGGCTAGCCTTGCAAGACCCTATTTTAAAACAGAACAAGTGTACTATATACAACAGCTATATCCACTTAGCCTGAACTAGTGTTGCATCCAAGATCTGTATAATCAACAACAGATACTGAAAAAAGAACACTAATGAAATGGTCTCTTTTGGTTTATAGTACCATCTGAATAAATTCTTTCCTGGAGCTGGGCATGGTGGCGCATGCCTTTAATCCCACACTTGGGAGGCAGAGGCAGGTGGATTTCTGTTAGTTAGAAGCCAGCCTACTCTACCTGGTGAGTTCAAGGACAGCTAACAGTACCTAGAGAGACATTGTTTTAAGCAAAACAAAACCAATCTCACCTGAGCTGCAGCTTCCTCGTAGCCAGTGGTTCCGTTGATCTGTCCAGCAAAGAACAACCGCTGAACTGAATGCGTCTCGAGGGACGGGCTGATCTGCCGGGGATCCAGATAGTCATACTGAACACCATAGCCTGGACCAACAACAAGTTCACACGGTAAGTCAGAGCAGCTGCCCCCGCCTCAAAGAGGAAACACACAGTGTACCAGACTTCATGAATGTAGAGATGCTGGGCTTCATCCACTAATACAGATTGTGACAGGGTCTTGTTATGTAGCCACATTCTGCCTCAGACTTGAAGAAAGCTTCCTGTTTTAGCTTCCCAAGTGCTGGGATTACAGAGGTGTGTCACATGTCCAGCTTTGGCCTATTTTATGGAGCACTAAGCAACAACAGAAGCAGACAGACCACCTCACTGCTTGCTGAAGCATGCCTGTGACCCTCTTTACCTGGATGAACCATTTTGGCTTTCTCCAAGCCTCTGATGCATGTTATCATTTTCTCTTGTAACTCAGCGGGTAGGGTAACAGATAACCCTTGGGGGTAGATAAGGTCGGAATCCATTCCTTCCGGTTCCAACCAAACCTGATGTACACGGTTTGGAAAACGTAAAACCTTTGATTCAATAGAGGGACAGTATCTAGAATAAGACATTGAAATTTAAAGTAAATTTGATGACAAAAAAAAGTTTACCTCATTCCTTAAAGTGATTAAGCACTCACTTCTAGTCCTTACCGGGGTCCTCTTGTAGTTTCCTTAACATGGTTATTCAGGTGAAGGTTCCCAAGGACAATCTCATCCACTCTGGGGTTGGTGTGAGTCAAGAAACATGGCAGCTGATCTTCTGGCTAGAAAACAGTAATCACATACAACACAGATTTCACCTGCTTGTCTGAGACAGGGCCTCTAGTAGCACCCCCACCCACCCCACCCCCAGCAAAAAAAAAAAAAGGAATGTTTTAGTAGGGCATAGTGCTTCACAACTGTAATCCCAGCACTTGGGAAGGTGAGGCAGGAAGATTTGCTAAAGTTACATAGCAAGACCCTATCTCACGAAAACCCCAATGCTAAACAAAGTTTCGTTGTGATAATGGTGTGAGGTGAGCTTTTCTTTGTTAAAGACATGAAAATGTTATCTATAAATGTCTTAAAACTTACCAAGAAGGAAAGAAACTGAGCCAGCAAGATGACTCAGTGGATGCCAGGCATGATGGCACCCACCTTTAATCCCAGCACTTGGGAGACAGGTGGGTCTCTGTGAGTTCAAGGTCAGCCTGGTCTACATAGTAAGTTCTAAGTCAGGGCTACAGAGTGAGACCCTGCATCAATCAGTCAGTCAATCAATGGCTCAGGGGATAAGGGCACTTGCCACCAAACCTAATCACCTGGGTTTGATCCCTGGAACCTACATGATAGGAGAGAACTCACTCTCTCAAGTTGTCCTCTGACCTCCATATGGGTGTCATAGCACAGGGCACCCACCCACCCACCCAAACAAACAAATAAATGTTTTTTAGGGTGTAAAACAGCCAGGTGTAGTGGCACATGTCTCTAATCCAGTACTGGAGTAGACACAGGTAGGTCTTCGAGAGCTCAAGGCTACCCTGGTCTACAGTTAGAAGCCAGCCAGGGCTACACAGTGATAACCTATCTAAAACAAAACTAAACTAAAACTAGGAAAAAGAGGAGGAGGAATGAAAGAAGCCAGGAGTAGTGACTCACACACCCCAAGTTCCAGCAAGCCTTGGTTCAGCTACACAATTGAGATTCTGACTGAAAAGAGGCTGGTGGAGAGAGGACAGAGAGACGGCCCAGCAGTAAAAAGCATGTACTATTGCTTTTGCAGAGGGCTCAGTTGTCACAGAGCTATCAGGAGGCTTACAACCACCTGTAGCTCCAGTTCTAGAAGTATCTGATGCTTCTCATATGCATAGGTACTTGTGCTCCCATGCATATACACGAATAAAACTTAAATGAAAAAAAAAAAAAAAAAAGAATGACACAATAGTATCTAAATTTAATTCATTACACTAGTTCCCAGATTTGTGAAATAACATTTTTGAGACAAGGTCTCACAAAGTAGTGCAGGCAGCCTTCAAACTCACCAATCTTCCTGAGTGCTAGGATTACAAGTGCGTGTCTGCTTTAAACCTGAAAAAATACAGGCTCTCATGTAGCCCAGGCTGGCCTCACACTCACTATGTAACTGGTCCTCTGGTCTCCACCTATCAAGGGCTAGGATTACAGATCTACACCACCATGACAAGTTTAGTCATGCTGGGGAATGCACCAGGGCTAGGCAGGCACTCTCCCACTAAACTACATCCCAACCACCCAAACTAACAACTTACAATACAAGTTAAAGCACTTGGGAAACAGGCAGGAAGACTGTGGGTGGGAGCGCAGTCGGGGATGCACAGCAAGACCCTGTCTCCAAAATGTTAAAAGTAACATGTCAAGGAAATGGCGTCCTAAGCTGCATCTTACTAAGCAAAAACATCCAAGTGGGCCAGCGAGATGACTCAGCAGGAAAGACACTATAACCTGATACCTGACTTCAACCCCAGTGACCACGTGGGAGGAGAATGAACAAGTTGTTCTCTATCTCTACTACATGCCATAGCTTGAGACACAAACAGACACACACAAAGATAAAAATAGTAATAGAATATTTAGAGCTATTCACATCAGGAAATTTATAAGAAACTGGGACCTCAATTACTAATACCCAATGCAATTTTTTTTTTTTTTTGAGATTTATTTACTTTTGGTTTTTCAAGACAGGGCTTCTCTAAGTAACAGCTCTGGCTGTCCTGGAACTCTATTTGCTGACCAGATTCACAGAGATCTACCTGCTTCTGCTTCCCGAATACTGGAATTTAAGTTGTGGGCCCCCACCACCCAGGGGGATTTCTTTTTATTTTATGTATGAATGTTCTGTCTGTGCATAGCATGCATGCAGTGTCCATGGAGTGGCACTGGAGTTAGAGCTTACAAACTTACAGGCTGTGAGCCGTCATGTGGGTGCTGGGAATTGAATCGGGTCCACTGGAAGAGCAGCCAGTACTCCTGACCCCTGAAACATCTCTCCAGCCCTTAATCCTTAATTCTAAACATACACAATATTTACTTTTTCCACTTGGAGGACAGGTGGGGACAGGGAATGTACCTCAGTGACAGAGTACTCATCTAGTATGTGCAAAGCTCTAGGTTCAATACTCAATACAAGCCCCCTCCAAAAAACAAACAAACAAACAAACCCCAAACAACCCCAAAAAATCAAAAACATAATGCAGAGAGTGTTGGGTCATCTAAATGGCCCAGCAGGTTAAGGCACTTGCTGCCAAGGCTGATGACCTGACTGTAGGACCCATGTTGTAGAAGGACAGAATCAATTCCTGTGAGTTTGAGGTCAGCCTAGACGACAGAGCTAGTTTAGGACAGCCAAGGCTACACAAAGAAACCCTGTCTCCCCCCCCAAAAAAAAGAAAAGAAAAGAAAAAGAGGGAGGGTTGGAGGTATGGTTCAGCAGTTAAGAATACCAGTTGCTTTCCAAAGAATGTGGTTTGATACCCAGAACCCATGCAGCAGTTCAAAACTCTCTGTAACTATAGTTCTATGGGATCCAACACTTTCTGCTAACCTACTTGGGTACCAGACATTCACATGATGCACAAACATACATACACAAAGGCAAACACCCGAACACATAAAAGAGAGAAAGAAAAAAAAGGAAGGGGCTGGAGAGATGATTCAGTAGTTAAGAATGCTTTAGCGCTGGGTGGTGGTGGCAGCGGTGCCCGCCTTTAGTCCCAGCAATCGGGAGGCAGAGCCAGGTGGATCTGAGTTCGAGGACAGCCTGGGCTACAGAGCAAGATCCAGGTCAGGTACCAAAACTACACAGAGAAACCCTGTCTCAAAAAAAAAAAAAAAGAAAAGAAAAAGAAAGAAGAAAGAATGCTTTTTGCTCTTCCAGAGGCCCAGAGTTCAGTTCCTAACACCCAAAATAGAAAGCTCACAATCTCTTGTAATTCCAGCTTTAAGGAACTCTGTTCTGGCCTCCACAGTCAACCTCACACAGATACATATACATAAATAAAAACAAAACGAAATTTAAAAAAGAAAGCAAAGAAGAGAAAGAGATGGTTAGGATACCTCCTGCTGTGAATAACCAGCATCATTCATAAACTCTCTTACCTTGATCCACACTGTTTCACTGAGGAAGCTGAATGGTATGGATGGATTATCTGGTGTGTGCTTGTTTAGAATGGTGAAATTAATGGACTCTTTGGCAAGTCGGGGTGGGGTCCCAGTCTTCAGTCTTCCTACCACAAACCCCAACTTCTCCAGAGTTTGAGCCAACCCTATAGAGGGTTGATCCCCCAAACGTCCTGCGGGCTGTGTCTCCAATCCAATTACGATCATGCCTCTCAGAAATGTCCCAGTTGTCAGAATTACACTCTCTGCATAAATTGTGCTTCCATCTGCTAAATGATTAGAAAAAAAACATAAAAGAGTAACTAATTTTCTGATTGTTACTACAGAATAAAATAGAATGTGAATATTTTATATCAGAATTACAGAAAAACTTCCTATCTCTAGAAACGTGAGAATTTTTGTAGCTATTTTTATTCATTTTATTTTATTTTTTTGGTATGAATGCTCTATCTGCATGTATGCCTGCATGTCAGAAGAGAGCGTCAGATCTCATTATGGATGGCTGTGAGCCACCATGTGGTTGCTGGGAATTGAACTCAGGCCCTCTAGAAGACCAGTCAGTGCTCTTAACCCCTGAGCCATCTCTCCAGCCCCTGTAGTTATTATTATTATTGTTTTATTTTGTTTGTTTTTTTCGAGACAGAGTTTCTCTGTGTAGTTTTGTTGCCTGTCCTGGAACTCGCTCTGTAGACCAGGCTGGACTTGAACTCAGAGAGATCCGCCTGGCTCTGCCTCCCGAGTGCTGGGATTAAAGGCATGTACCACCACGCTAGGCCCCTGTAGTTATTTTTAAAAATTTAATTAAAGTGCAGCCGGATGTGGTAGTGCATGCCTTTAATCTCAGCACTCCGGAGGCAGAGGCTGGTGGATCTCTGTGAGTTTGAGGCCAGCCTGGTCTACAAGGCCCTGCCCCCACCAAAAACCAAACCAAACCAAAACAAAAAAAACCCCACCACCACCAAAAAACTTTATTAAAGTATGAACAAATTTATTTTTCATAAATTTTATTTATTTATTTAATAAATTAAAAGGTTTTTTTTTTTTCCCTCTAGACAGGGTTTCTCTGTGTAACTGTCCTGGCTGTCCTGGAACTTGCTTTGTAGACCAGGCTGGCCTCAAACACACAGATATCTGCCTGCCCTGCCTCCTGAGTGATATGATTAAAAGCATGTGTACCACCACCCAGCAATAAAGTACATTCTTTTTTTCTTTTATGGGGGGGCGGTTTTGACAGGGTTTCTCTGTGTTGCCCTGGCTGTTCTGGAACTCACTCTATAGACCAAGTTGTCCTCGAACTCAAAAGGAGTGTGCCACCACCACCCAGCCAAAATACAATTTTTCTTAATAAAAATTGTTTATTAAATTATAAACAAATAGCCGGGCGGTGGTGGCGCACGCCTTTAATCCCAGCACTCGGGAGGCAGAGCCAGGTGGATCTCTGTGAGTTTGAGGCCAGCCTGGGCTACCAAGTGAGTTCCAGGACAGGCGCAAAGCTACACAGAGAAACCCTGTCTCGAAAAACCAAAAAAAAAAAAAAAAGAAAAAAAAAATTATAAACAAATAAAAATGGTCCACCTTATATAAACTCATATAATCCTAGTTAACATACCTACTATACCTCATGGCTACCCTGTGTGTATGTGTGTGTGTGTGTGTGTGTACCTCAAAACACTCAAGTTCTGTTCCCTTAGAAAAATCTCAGGGTCCAACATTTTATTATCAACTATAGTTACCATCTGAGACATTACATCTCTAGAAAGTATCCAACTTAACTGAAAGCTTTGCCTTTAGGTAAACATCTCTCCACCTCCCACTCAAGGCAAAGAATTTTTTTCAAAGATTTATTTATTTATTATGCACAGAGTGTTCTGCCTGCAGTCCAGAAGAGGGAACCAGATCTCATTTCAGGTGGTTGTGACCCACCATGTGGTTGCTGGGAATTGAACTCAGGACCTCTGGAAGAGCAGCAGTCAGTGCTCTTAACCTCTGAGCCATCTCTCCAGACCAGGCAAAGAATTTGAAATGAGTAAGAAAGCTGAGTGTGTAGGGCACAGTGGTCGGTATCTGTGACCCCAGCAATGAGAAAATGGGGACAGTTCAGCCAGGCTGGCTGAATCAGTGAGCTCGAGGATCAGTGAGAGGCACTTGTTTCCAAAAATAAGCAACTCAGGAGGCTGGCAAGATGGCTCAGCAGACAAAAGGCACTTGCTATGGAGCCTGATGACCTGAGCTTGATCCCCAGAACCGACATGGTTGGAGGAGAGAACTGCCTGCTCACAATCGCACAGCACACACATGCACACGAGTAATAAGTGTAGTAGGGAAAACATGATGTTTTTCACTACTAATTCACACATTCCTAAATTCAACTGGGCGGTGGTGGAGCACACCTTTAATCCTAGCACTCAGAAGGCAGAGGCAAGCAGATCTCTGCAAGTTTGAGGCCAGCCTGGTCTACAGAGCAAGTTCCAGAACAGCCAGGGCTACATAGAGAAACCCTGTATCGAAAAAACAAAAACAAAACAAAACAAACAAAAAACTAAGTCCCCTCCCCGCAAAAGCAGTAAACACATGTTCCTAAGATCACATGGGCACAGTGCAGTTAGTGACGGTTTAGAAAACTATGGACTGGAAAGATGGCTCAGCAGTTAAGAGCAATGGCTATTCTTGCAAAGGAACTGGGTTCAATTCCTAGGACCTACATGGCAGTTCACAACTGTCCATAACTCAAATTCCAAGGGATCAAACACCCTCTTCTGGCTTCTGCAGACACCAGGCAGGCATGTGGTGCACATACATACATGGAGGCAATCATTCATATACATAAAAAGAAATATTAAGAAAAAAGAAAATTAGCTGATTTTAGACTTTTGGCTAAACACGACACGATTTTTTTCATCCTTCTGAAACTTAAAGGAAAAAAAAAAAAGGATAAAACAGGCCACGTGTGGTGGTACATGCCTTTAATCCCAACACCTGAGAAGCAGAGGCAGGTGGATTTGTGAGTTCGAGGCCAGCCTCGATTACACTGGACTAAAAAGGAAAAAAAAAGTTTATTGTATTTCTGAAAGCTAGATAGTAGCTGGAAGAATGGTAATTGATATAGGGAAGAGGAGAAAACAGGAAAATTGAATTAGTTTCTCCTTGCAAAAGCTCAGAAATAGAGAACCTGATTGAGGTTGAGGAACTGTACTGGCTAATTTTATGCCAATTTGACACTGGCTAGAGTCATCTGAGAGTAGGGAACCCCAATTGGGAAAACACCTCCACAAGATCGGGCTATAGGCAAGCCTGTAGAACATTTTCTTAATTAGTAATTAATGTGGGAGGGCCCAGCCCATTGTGAATGGTACTACCCCTGGGTGCTATACGAAAGTAGGCTAAGCAAGCCGTGGGGAACAAGCCAGTAATCAGCACCCCTCCATGGTCTCTGCATCAGCTCCTGCCTCCAGGTTCCCACCTTGTTTGAGTTCCTGTCCTGATTTCCTTCAGCGATAGACTATGAATATGGAAGCATAAACCAAATAAACCCTCTCCTCCCCAACTTGCCTTTGGTCACGGGGTTTCATCATAGCAACAGTAACCCTAACAAAGAGGAACAGAGGGACAGGTAACACAGCTCAGTTGGTAGAGGGTCCGCCTAACACGCAAACCCTGGGTTCAATCCCTAGCACCACATCCGTTAGACCTGATGGCACAGGCCTATAATCCCAGCACTTAAGAGGTAGAGGCACGTGAATCTGAAGTTGGAAGCCATTCTCTGCTATACTGTGAGTGTGAGGCCAGCCCAGGATATATGGGGGGAAATATATTAAAAAGAGGGGGACACGGTTAAGACGGCTCAGTGGGTAAAGACACTTGCTGCCAAACCTGATGACCTGAGTTAATTCCTGGTACCTACATGTTGAGAGCAGGGAACCAACTCTCAAAAGTCGTCCTCTGCCGACACACACAAGCACCTCACACATAAAACAACAAATACAGAAACAAATTTATGATAGAAGAGCCTGGATAAAAGATACAGATATGCAGGCTCTGGAGTCTTACACTAAAACAGTACTGATGAACCCAGAATTTGACTGAGATTCACGATGGTCAAAATGAAGAGACACAAGACTGTTTACATATTTTTCCTTATCCAGGCAGAGGGAACAAGAATTTCCTGGCATAGGAAAAACATCTCCACACTCTCCTCTAAAGCAAATGTCTCACAGGGTCTAATGGGCTGGGATGAGCATTATTAGCCAGTACGTACCCAAAATAACACCCCTGACCCGACATTTCCCAGCGTATCCAGGCTCCGGTTCTGTAAGAACTAGATCTTCTACAGCTCCCTCCTGAACAGTGAGCAGGGGCGTATTCAGGATTTCCTTCTGTCAAGGGAGAATGCCAGTTGAAACAGCAGCTGGAGAAGCCCAGTCCTTCCTGTCCCCACCTCGGCTCACCTGCATGTTCTGTTTATAAAGTTTCCGATCAATTTGCGCTCTCAGCCCCCACACAGCGGGACCCTTACGCCGGTTTAATACTTTGTAATGTATACCAGACTGGTCACAGATTCGAGAACACAAGCCATCCAAGGCATCTACTTCCCTCATCAAATGCCCCTTTCCGATGCCACCAAAGGAAGGATTACAGGACATCTGACCTAAAGAGAATGGACACGATCATGGTAAATAAATGAGTACCTTGTACATATTATTTAATAAAGAGCTGTTCCTACAGGTAATTAGCCCTCATTTACGAAAAAAACTTTCTCCTCTAACTTCAAAGAGAGGAGGAATTAGCAGAGTATGAGTGATTCATTCCTGCCCTCTGCATCCTTAGGGACTCAACCTTCTAAGGCAAAGTCATCTTTCTTCCTTGAAGCCAAGGAACTCTTGATATTGCACCAAATTTCCATAAAACAATCATTTTGGCCAGGTACACCTTAAATCTCAGCCCTCTGGAGGCTGAGACACATGGATCACTGTGAGTTCGAAGCCAGACTGGTCTACACAGCAAGCTCTGCCCTGTGGCAACAAACAAACAACCCCTCTTTCATTTCAAATTAAGATTTTACTAACAGCCTCTGAAATGTTTTTAAACATATCCTACTGCGTTGACAGAATAAAGGTTTTGCATGACTGTGTATATATCCAAGAGAAATTAAATCTTTGGCTAAAGTGACAAGTGTACTCCTATGTCTAACGAAACACTATTTGCAAGAGGCAAGAAACGCGATCAAGCTAGTGTTCATCCAGTAATAGATAAAGTGGCGCGTACGCTACCGCGGGTATCAACAAACCTTGGGCACAAAACTCTCAATGGAAATATAGAACGGAACGAGAAGCACCGTTTTCCACAAGGGCTTGACACGCTCTCGGTGAACGCACTATGTCGCTTAATCAAACGGGTGTGAAAACGTTAATTCACACTTTCTTTGAGGCGAGAATACCGGGAAGGTTAATCCAACGACCCGCTGTGCCTGACAGTCCTCCGCTCCCTCACCCCGGTCACCCACCGCTCTCGTCCACCCCAACCCGGCCCCGCGCTCGGTCCGGTGCAGGGTCCCCGCCGCGGGCCACCCCTGCGTCACAGGCCGGCCGAGGCCGCGGGGGCTCCTCACCGATCGTGTCCACGCGGTGTGTGAGGAGCAGAGTCCGCGAGCCACAGCGCGCAGCGGCGGCGGCCGCCTCGGTCCCCGCGTGGCCGCCTCCGATCACTACCACATCGAAGCGCGCGCGGCACGGCGCCGCGCTGTCGCTGCGGAGGCGAGGCAAAGGCAAGCGTCTGCCGAGGGACGCCGCGGCCCAGCGGCCGCAGTCTCGGAGAAGCAACATGCCCAGGGAAGGCGGACGACCCGCAGCAGCTAAGCCCGGGGAAGCGGTCCGGGCGCCGCCATCTTGCCCTGCGTCAGAGCGCAGCACGCCTGCGTCCAGCGTCGCCTCTGATTGGCGGTTTGGAGCTCCAGCGGCTAAGGCCGCGGGGTGGCGCGCGCAGGCCGGATGCGCGTTCTCTCGCTGTCCGGTACCCCATGGCGCTGGCGGGGCGGTTCTGCCTGGACGGTTGAGGTTAGGCCTTTCCGGTGGACCAGTCTCTATAGTCAGGTTACCGCCTACGAACAGTAAGTTTGATCAGTTTGCCTTATCAGATTCTTTGGATTTGAGGGCGCTGTCAAAACCACAGTCTGAAATTCGGGTCGCCTTGACAATAAATTCAGATTACATTTGTCGAGGAAGAGCAGAAGCAGGCGAAAGTTGGAGGTTCAATAGCCAGCCTTTTGGAATTGACAGCCTTAAAGCCTTCTTCTGAGAGGTTGTTTTGACTAACGCAACCCGTGTTCTGATGAGTAAAATCATCAAATACACAGTTTTGTTGTTTGTATTAATAACCAAAATTCTCAGTCCACCGTGGTGCTGCATGCTTGTAATCCCAGTACTGGGGGCCAGGGTCAGGAGAATTGCCTCGTGCTGAAATCCATCTGGGTCTACATACTAATACTACCATGTCCTCAAAACCCCATTATTTACATAAAACTTAAACATTTATTAAAGGTATTTATGTGTATGAGTGTGTGTGCACCATGAGTGTGCCCACACAAGTCAGAGAGGGCATCAGATCCCCTGGAACAGAAGCAACAAAGGGTTGTGAGCCACCATTGTTTCACTGAGCTAGAACCCAGGTCCTCTGTAAGAGCTCTTGATCTCGGAGCCATCTCTCCAGTTCCTATTTATACACAACTTAAACATTACATAAACACAGACATGGAGAATTAGAGAACTTGTAACTCCCACCAAGTGCTCTATCCTCACTTCACAAGAATGTCAGCCTTCTGTTGCTAGTAACTATTTTTATATGTATGTACAACAATTTCCTCTGAGTTGAAATCTTCCTGGAGGAGGGAGTCTCGAAAAACTCCAGAAGTGAACAAAATTGACAACTTCAGCTGAAGCAAGATTTGTAAGCTTCCAGGTCCACCCCCACCCCAGGCTGTGTAAGCAGGGACCATTGCTAGGGGGAAGACTGCAGGACTCTATCAGCCATGCAAGTCCTGCAGGGAGCTCCAGGGATGCAACTCTGTGATTGTCCATGCCGGGGTGGGCTCTTCTGTGATGCAGCTGTCTTTGAGTCATCCATCCTCCTGCAAGTGCCTCCAATAAACTCAGTTTCACGAAGCTGGATTTGAGTGGAATCATTTTCTTTGGCTTGTTGGTGACCTGGAACTGCAGGAAAAAAAACAATCACACAACATAGGAATGCTATTATTTTGTACATGCATTGTGTGATTATACGATCTTTCGTTTTACTCCTCTCTACTTAACTATAGGTATGTTTTTTAAATTAATTGCATTTGTTCATTTGCATGTGTGTATGTGTTTAGATTTACCCATGCCATGTGCATATACGGAGATAAAAAACTTGAGGGAGTCAGTTCTTTTCATCCTGTGTGTCCTGGGAATTGAACTCAGGTCAGCAGACTTGGCAGCAGATACTTTAACCTGCTGAACCATCTGGCCAGTCCCCTTAGCAATATATTTGTTTAGTTGAGCATGGTGGCACACAACTTTAATCCCAACACTTGAGAGGCAGAGTCAGGCGGATCTCTGTGAGTTCGAGGACAGCCTGGTCTACAGAGCGAGTTCCAGGACAGCCAGGAGTAGGTAGAAAAACCCTGTCTCAGAAAAAAAGCAAAAACCTCTACCTGTCCAGCTATTGGCCAGTCATCTTCTTTATTAACCAGTGAGAATAATACATATTTTTAAAAATTATTTATTTTTATTTTATGTGCATGAACTCAAGGCCTCCTCACTGTATCCAGTATTGGTTTGGTTGTTGTTGTTGTGGGTGTTTTGTTTTAGATATTGATTGGGGGGGGGAGAAAGAGGGAGAAGGAGAGAGAGGTGAGCGAGTGTGTATGAGCACAGGTGGGAGCCAGTGCTCTCCTTCCTCCTTCCTTGCTTTGAGGCAGGGCCTCTCTTGTTATTTTTCTAGCTGTTCTGTGTACTCCAGGACACCCAGCTGGAGAACTTCAGGCCAATTCTGAATCTGCCTTCCAACTTGCAGTAAGAGGGCTCAGACTGTAGAGGTATGCACCATGGAATCCAGTCTTGGTTCTAAGGATCAAAAACAGGTGTCAGGAGTGCATAGCCATCTCAAGGAGCCATCTTCCTGGCTTCTGTTATCTTTTTGGGATATCTCACTTTGCAGCCCAAGGTGAACTGGGACTCACAACGATCTTTCTGCCTCAGCTTGCTGAATGCTGGCATTTCAAGTTTATGCCATTGTGCTTGGCTTGGATTTTTTTTTTTCCCTTTGAGACAGGTTCTTGCTATACAGCTCAAACTGGCCTCCAAATCTCTATCCTCCTGCCTCAGTTACCTGAGTGTGGGGATTACAAGTGTGTAGAGCATGTCCAGCTCAGAAGTGAGTATTTATGCTTTGACCATGAATAATGAAATTGAGACCCTACTGTATAAATTGTTGTATAATCTTCTCTTTCACAAACAGTGGACATTTTTCAAGAATCATCAAATATTTACTCGCTGTTCTCCCCCAGCTCCTCCTTGCTCTTGCCCTCTCAGCCTAGAATTGATATGTAGCCCAGGCTGGCCTTGAACTCATAAAGATCTGACTGGAGCCAATGTAGTTTGTCACCAATGCCCCCCTCCCCCCACCCAACAGGGTTTTACTATGTAGCCCAGGCTGGCCTTGAACTCATGATCCTTATGCATCAGCCTTTGAAGTTTTTATATTATAGTCGTGGACTACTATAGCTGAAATATACTACTTCTTGTAGGCATACTTTTCTGTCTGCCAGCCAGTTCCCAAATAAACACACAGAGACTTACCATTTATTGTAAATGTTCCACTGATAGCTCAGGCTTGTTATTAACTAGTTTTTACATTTTAAATTAACTCATTTTTTTTTATCTACACTCTGCTACGTGGCAGTACCTTTTTGCAACATGGCAAGTTTATCTTGCTTTTCTCTGCGTCTCCTCGAGATGCCCAAGACTCCTCCCCTTCTTCTTCACACTCTTTTTGTCTACAAGTCCCACCTAACCTCTACCTGTCCAACTATTGGCCAGTCATCTTCTTTATTAACCAGTGAGAATAATACATATTTTAAAAAATAATATATTTATTTTTATTTTATGTGCATTGGTGTTTTGCCTGCCTGTATGTCTGTGTGAGGGTCCCCTGGAACTAGAGTTACAGACAGTTGTGAGCTGCCATGTGGATCCTGGGAATTGAACCCAGGTCCTTTGGAAGAGCAGTCAGTGCTTTTAACCGCTGAACCATCTCTCTAGCCCCTAGTAATACATATTTAGAGTATACAAAAAGATTATCCCACAACAACTTCTTAAAGCCTGTAGCTTAAGTACATGACTAACTGAATGTCTACTGTGAAAGTATATACAACCCTTATGTGGAAGGTAGTCTGTTACGCCTTACATCAGGGTCCCCGATGATGGACCTCAAATTTATTGTTTGTTTGAGACAAGATCTCACTCTCTTACTGAGACTTGTACTTCTGACCTCAAAGCTGCTTTGCCTTAGCCTCCAGAGTAACTGGAACTATGGACATGTACCACCCCAGGTGATGCTAAGAGCTGATTAGCTAGAAAGATTCACATTAGAAGAAAAACAATTACAGGATGGTTGTTGCAGTGAACTATGCCCCTTTCAAAATCATTGCTCAGATGTCATTCTGGATGCACATGCCTTTTTCCTTACCCTTCTTGAACTATTTTTGTTTTGTTTTTCCAGACAGGGTTTCTCTGTGTAGCCTTGGCTGTCCTGGAACTTGTTCTATAAACCAGGCTGGTCTTGAACTAGCAAAGATCCGCCTGCCTCTGCCTCACCTGGGATTAAAGGCATGCACCAACACCACCTGGCTGTTTTCTTTTTCATAAAAAAGTTATCATTGTTTTGTCTGCATGTCTGTCTGTCTGTGCACCATGTATACACCTAGTGCCGTTGGAGGCCACAAGAGGGCATTGGGTCCCCTGGAACTGTCTCTTGGGAAGTGGTGCTGGAAAATGAACTTGGATCCTTTCAAAGAGCAGCCAACACCTTAACCACTGAGCCACCTCTCTAGTCCCCTTCCTTTTCTTTTCTTTCTTTCTTTTGTTTTTTTGAGACAGGTTTTCTTTGTGTAGCCCTCGCTGTACTGGAATTCACTTTGTAGACCAGGCCCTGAACTCACAGAGATCCACCTGCCTCAGCCTCCAGAGTGCTGGGATTAAAGGTGTGCACCACCACCACACCTGGCCCCTTTCCTTCTTCAGTAGAGATTATCATCTACCACATGAGATATATTTATTATTTTTGCCTATTTTCACTTGAGAGAATATAAGCTTTAGGAAGACAAGAATTATTGTTAGCGAATCCCAAGAGCTCAGAACAGAGCCTGATATGTCTTAGGCAGCCAAATGTTTATTGAGCGAATAAGTGAATTGCTAGAGACAAACTCTACAAATAAAGGATGGGGGTGTAGCTCAGTGTGACCCCACTGAGTCAAAGCACTTAGAGGAAGGAGTCAGAATCACAGGCAGAAAGTGAAGTGATGCCAAGGAGACTGGTGCAGAGAGCTGCTGAATGGCTGCGTTTCTTTGGCATGATGGAGACTTGTGGAGATGTATGGTGGTGAGGGTTGCCCAACAATATAAATGTGCTTATCACCGAACTGTGCATGTGTGCGTGTGCGTGCGTGCATGCGTGCGTGCGTGCGTGCATGCATGCATGCGTGCGTGTGTGTGATGTGCTGGTTCTCCCTTTCCACTTTAGATCGCTCTGGGGTGAGCCATCATGCTTTCCTTGAAACTGCACCTAGGAATGGCTGATTTTAAAAGCTAATCAAGGCACTCTAGAGGATGGGCTCCTGTCAGCCTCTTGTCTGTCTGTTTGTGACAGGGTCTCACTCTGGCTGTGTAGCCCTGGCTGTCCTAGAATTTGCTTTGTAGACCAGCAGGCTGGCCTCAAAGTCAGACATCAGCTGAACTGCCTCTGTCTCTTGAATGTTGGGACTAACAACGTGCACCATCATGTCCAGCAAGGCATTCTAAATATAGGGGTCTCATGTCTAAAGTATATTTCTGCCAAGGAGGAAGTGTTTCTATCCCCAGGCATGTCTGCTTGCCATCCAAAAGCCAGATGACAAATTCCCACTTTGGGAACTCATGTACAGGCATTCACAGGAAGGGGGGAAAAGAATAGCATGGGCGATGATGGGACAGCATCACACTGATCAGTGTCTTTTTATCCAGGCAATGTGTCATCCTCCCCCACTCCCCATAGTCTATGGCACACTACACACCACACACACACACACACACACACACACACACACACACACACACACACACACTTTCCTCAAAGTTAAACATCACAGCAGTTTGTGAGTGTTGTGTTAGTGGACACACTAGCTTATGTAATAAGGAGTGGAGTTACACATTCTGATGTTAGCCGAAGACGAAGTGGTGTTCTGGGCTGTGCAGTCGACAGAAAGCAGGGTTCTGGTTTTGTCAGGCAAAGGCAGGGGGAGGCAAAATAAATCCCGCTAGGTACAACTTTCAACCACTGTTGACAAGATTGACTTTAGAAATTGCGTTCTGAACGTCAGCATTGAAGTGCCCTGGAATCTCAGCAGCCAAATCAGTAGGATTGTGCTGCTTATGGAACTCACATAGGCACTTTAAACAAGTTCTTTAAGATTTCGTGTGCTTTTTAGAAAGCCAGATAATTTGAAATACTTATTCCAAGCAGTCATCTACCTTGTAAACGTTTAGTGTTATTTCTACTACTCATTAACAAGAACACCAAATTCTTATTTAAAGCTTACCTAGAAAACATTTTTATGAACTTCAAATGTACAAGCGACGAGGTCCCCAAATAAATCTTGGTGGTAGGTCAGCAAATCTGGCCGCAAAGCTGTTGTCAGTGTTTTCCGTGTCTTTGCAATAAAGGAAGGGTGGGTGGTTTCCAAGCCAATGGCTCAGCTGGTCCCCACTGGCGGGTGAGAAAGTTCGCATCTCCTGGACCGCCTCTTCCTGGCGGCGACGTACGACCTCACGCGTTCCTGCGCCTGCTCTGGGCGGCACAGACAAGCTGCGTTCCCGCCAGATTAGTTAAGTTTCGTTTCCAGCAGTTACGGAGAGTTCCCCTTCCCGCGATCTTTCCCCGAAGTTGACTCTTCCTTTCCGGAGCACAGAGCCTCAGATATGGAAGGTCAGTGCCGAAGGCCGACAGCGCCGCGCGCTAAGAAGCCGGCTGCGAAGCGCGCCACGACGGAGCCCAAAGGGACCGTGGCCGCCCGGCCCCGCGCGGGAAGCTGCGTCCCGCAAAGGGGGGCGCGATCGCGGCGTGCGGAGTGTGACGGGGACCCCGCGGAGAAGCCGCGCGCCCAAGCGCCCCCGGGAAGGGCGTCCGTGCGCACCAAGGACCCACAGCCCTCGGCCACCGGAGCCGCAGGTGACGCCGGGCAGCCCGGCGTCCGGGAGCCCCAGCCTCCGACAGTCCCCGAGGTACCTGAGGTCTCAAGGGGCGTCCGGGAGCCCCAGCGTCCGACAGTCCCCGAGGTACCTGAGGTCTCAAGGGGCGTCCGGGAGCCCCAGCCTCCGACAGTCCCCAAGGTGCCCGAGGTCTCAAGGGGCGTCCAGGAGCCCCAGCCTCCGACAGTCCCCGAGGTACCTGAGGTCGCAAGGGGCGTCCAGGAGCCCCAGCGTCCGACAGTCCCCGAGGTGCCCGAGGTCTCAAGGGGTCCTCGCGGCAGGAGGGGCGCGCGCTCCACGGGGCAACAGAGAGCCCCGCGGGCTTCCAGGAAGGAGCCGGAGACCCTCGACAAAAAGCTCAAGAGGGTGCTGGGAAATTTGAAGTTGAAACGGGATGAGATCTCGGTGGCAGCCGAGGTGGTGAATGAAGTCGTGAAGAGCCTGCTGAAAGGAATGCAGACCAGTGAGTCGGAGTTCAAAGGCGTGCAGAAGCTGAACACTGGCAGCTACTATGAGCATGTGAAGGTGAGTGGCCAAGACCTGCTTGCTGCAGGGGCTCCGGGCCCACTCCTCACCTGCCTCATCTTTTTGGGGTTCCCCACACCCTTGGGTATCTCCCCAGTTCCCTTCTGGAACAACCCACGTTCTGCTCTTTTTTTTTTTTTTCGAGACATGGTTTCTCTGTGTAATTTTGGAGCCTGTCCTGGATCTCGATCTGTAGACCAGGCTGGCCTCAACTTCACAGAGATCCACCTGTCTTCCTCCTGAGTGCTGGGAATGAGTGGGAATAAGGCGTACGCCATCACTGCCTGGCTTTTTTTTTTTTTTTTTTTAATTCATTCAGTTAGCATACAGACCAATATTGATAGCTAGTTTCTCTTAACGCTGTGCTTTGGAGGAACTCTGGACTTCCTCCTGAGGAGTTGTGGTAGAGAGGATATGTGACTTTAAAGCAGTCACAGTGGAAGGTCTGCGCCCAGTGTGGATGAGGACTCTGCTGTGGCTGAGTGCATGGAATCCCCACCTATATCCTCTAGATTGAGTCTAGCCCATTCCAGAGACCCTGGGACCACTGTCAGTTAGGGCAGAATTGTTTACAGCTAGTTGGGTGAGGTGGCTGGATACCCAGGTGAGGGTCCTGTGACCTTCTCCACCTCCTTCTATGAGCAAACATGAACACTCAGCAAGCCTAGCTCTGCTGATCTTTAGAGAGCAGGTCCAGCAGAATTCCTGAAGATAGTGGCAGTGTGGCTCAGAGGCCAGTCCAGTACAACACAAGGGAAGATTGTAAGAAGTAAATCAATTGTAGTAGTTTTATCCAAATACTACGGCAACTACTAATCCCAGCAGGGAGGCAGAGGCAGGTGGATCTCTGTGAGTTTGAGGCCACCTTGGTCTACATAGAGAGTTCCAGGACAGCTAGGGCTCTATAGAACCTGTCTCAAAACAAAAACAAAACAAAAAAATAATAAAAAAATAAAAAGGGGAAAAAAAACATAGCAACTTGCAACATGAATGGATTATAAAAACAAATTAGTACATACAGCCACTACAATAAGGCAAGAAAAAGAAACCAAATGAGTAAGATTGGCAAAGGGGCAAAAAACTATTATGTACAGATGACATAATAGTACAAACTATTAAAATAATCAGTGAATTAGCAAGATTACTAGGTACAAAAACCAATAAACTAAAACCAGCTATTTAAATGTGTTAGCAAGAGATGTGCAGATGAGGTAAAAACAGCATAAAAACCAAGTAGCGGGGAGGAGAGAGAGCTCAGGGGTTAAGAGCACTGGCTGCTTGCTCAGAGGACCAGGGTTCAGTTCCTAGCACCCACGTGAACTACCCTGACCATCCCTTGAACTTCCAGGGGATCTGACACTCTCTTCTGGTTTGCAGAGGCACCAAGCACATACATGGTGCAAAGACATACATGTAGCAAAACATCCATATAAATAAGATAATTTTTTTTTTCAAAACAGGATTTCTCTGTGAAACAGTCCTGGCTATCCTGGAACTCACTCTGTAGACCAGGCTGGCCTCGAACTTACAGAGATCCACCTGCCTCTGCCTCCCAAAGTGCTGGGATTAAAGGCGTGCGCTACCACCGCCCGGCATAAATTATTTTTTTTAAAGCACAACTCTAACTAATGAAGGCTGTGTGGTATTTTTATTTACTTTATTCTACTTTACCTCTTTATTTTATTTTATGACAAGGTCTCATGTATCCCAGGCTGGCCTCTAACTCGTTGTGTAGCCAAGGATGATCCTCCTGACTTTTACCTCCCTAGTGCTGGAATTATGCCATCATCATATGTAGTCCTAGTCTATTCAATGCTGGGATGGAACCCAGGGCTTCATGCATGCTAAGCAAAATCATCTCCCAACTGAGCTCTCTCCCTATCTCTCTGTGGTATTTAATATAGGAAAAGTATTTATTATGATTATTGTTGGAAACATGAAAAGGGGTTTTATTGTTTGTTTTGGTTTTAGACAGGATTTTACTGTGTAGCCCAGGCTGGCCCCTCAAACTTGTGATTCTCTTACCTCAGTTTTCTAAGGGCTAGGTTTACAGGCGTGTGTCACCTCAATACACATTTCTGTGACCACTGTGGCAGGAGGGTGGCTGCAGTGTGTATTTTGTGATATAAAAGGTAACATCACAAGGTTTATTTAAAAAAACATTTTTTTTTTTTGGTTTTTTGAGACAGGGTTTCTCTGTGTAGTTTTGCGCCTTTCCTGGAACTCACTTTGTAGACCAGGCTGGCCTCGAACTCACAGGGATCCGCCTGGCTCTGCCTCCCGAGTGCTGGGATTAAAGGCGTGTGCCACCACCGCCCGGCTAAAAAAACTTATTTAAAAAAATGTTTTTGGTGACTTTGTTTGTTGAGATAGAGTCTCACTATGTAGCCCTGGCTGAGTAAAATTCACTAGGTAGACTAGGCTGGCCTCAACAGAGATTACCTGTTTCTGCCTTCTGAATGCTGGGATTAACCACTATTCCTAGGGTTTTAATATGTGAATTTTATGGGTTTTTGTGTTTGTTTGATTTGTTTTCTGTGTTGGAACAGTTTGCCAGAGAAGCAATCCAAGACTAGATTTTTCTTAAAAAAGAAAAATTGAGAGAATCTACAAGCTAAAACCAATAATGTGTATAGTAACAGGGACTACCCATTCTCAGGTGTGGTGGTCCTGTTCTGAGAGGGGATACATATTGGGCATCTTACCTTCCTTCCTTCTTTTCTTTTCCTTATTATTATTTTTTTGTTATTAAGAAATTTTCAGCCAGGCGGTGGTGGCACATGCCTTTAATCCCAGCACTCGGGAGGCAGAGCCAGGCGGATCCCTGTGAGTTCGAGGCCAGCCTGGGCTACCAAGTGAGTTCCAGGAAAGGCGCAAAGCTACACAGAGAAACCCTGTCTCGAAAAAACAGAAAAACAAACAACCCCCCCAAAAAAACAAAGAAATTTTCTATTCATTTTACATACCAACCACAGATCCCATCCCCCTCCCCCTCCCAGCCTTCCCGCCTCAACCCACCCCCATTCCCACTTCCTCCAAGGCAAAGTCTCCCATGGGGAGTCAGCAGAGCCTGATACACTCAGTTGAGGCAGGTCCAAGCCCCTCCCCCTGCACCAAGGCTGTGTAAGGTGTCCCACCATAGGCAGTGGGCTCCAAAAAGCCTGCTCATGCACCAGGGATGGATCCTGATGCCACTGTCAGGGGCCCCTTAAGCAGATCAAACTACACAGCTGTCTTTCCTATGCAGAGGGCCAAGTCCAGTCCCATGGAGGCTCCACAGCTGTTGGTCCACAGTTCATGGGTTCCCACTAGTTTGGTTTGGTCATCTCTGTACATTTCCCCATCATGATCTTGATCCTCCTTGCTCATAGAATCCCTCTTCACTCTTTGACTGGACTTCCGGATCTCAGCCTGGTGCTTGGCTGTGGATCTCTGCATCTGCTTCCATCAGTTACTGGATGAAGGCTCTATGATGACAGTTAGGGTATTTGCCAATCTAATTACCTGGATAGGCTAGTTCAGGCATCCTCTCCACTATTGCTAGTAGTCTAAGGTGGGGTCATCCTTGTGGATTCCTGGAACTTCCCTAGCTCTCGGTTTCTCTCTATCCCCATGATGTCTCCCTCTGTCATGGTATCTTTCATTGCTTTCCCACTCCATCCCTGTTCGAGCTTGACCATCCTGTTCCCTTATGTTCTCATCCCCCATCCCCTACCCTCCATTGCCCCCCTCTCACCCCCAGTTTACTCAGGAGATCTCACCTATTTCCTCTTCTCAGGGCGATCCATGCATCCCTCTTTGGGTTCTCCTTGTTAGCTAGCTTCTCTGGAGCTGTGGGTTGTAGTCTGGTTTTCCTTTCTTTACATCTAGTATCCACTTATGAGTGAGTACATACTATGTTTGTCCTTCTGAGTGGGTTACCTCACTCAGGATGATGTTTTCTAGTTCCATCCATTTGCCTGCAAATTTCATGATGTCGTTTTTTTTTTTTTTTACTGCTGAGTAGTACTCCATTGTATATATATGCCACATTTTCTTTATCCATTCTTTGGTTGACGGGCATCTAGGTTGTTTCCAGGTTCTGGCTATTATGAATAATGCTGCTATGAACATAGTTGAGCAAGTATCCTTGTGGTATGATTGAGTGTTCCTTGAGTATATTCGCAAGAGTGGTATTGCTGTGTCTTGAGATAGATTGATTCCCAATTTCCTCAGAAAGCACCATACTGATTTCCAAAGTGGCTGTACAAGTTTGCACTCTCACCAGCAGTGGAGGAGTGTTCCCCTTGCTCCGCATCCTCTCCAACATAAGCTGTCTTCAGTGTTTTTGATCTTAGCCATTCTGAAAGGTGTAAGATGGTATCTCAGTGTCGTTTTGATTTGCATTTCCCTGATGACTAAGGATGTTGAACAATTCCTTAAATGTCTTTCGGCCATTTGAGATTCTTCTTTTGAGAATTCTCTGTTTAGTTCTGTTGCCCATTTTTTAATTGTATTGTTTGGTATTTTGATGTCTAGTTTCTTGAGTTCTTTATATACTTTGGAGATCAGTTATCTGTCAAATGCGGGGTTGGTGAAGATCTTTTCCCATTCTGTAGGCTGTCTTTTTGTCTTACTGACCATGTCTTTTGCCCTACAAAAGCTTCTCAGTTTCAAGAGGTCCCATTTATTAATTGTTGTTCTCAGTGTCTGGGCTACTGGTGTTATATTTAGGAAGTGGTCTCCTGTGCCAATGCATTCAAGAGTACTTTCTACTTTTTCTTCTATCAAGTTCAGTGTAACTGGATTTATGTTGAGGCCTTTGATCCACATGGACTTGAGTTTTGTGCATGGTGACAGATATGGATCTATTTGCAATCTTTTACATGTTGATATCCAGTTATGCCAGCACCATTTGTTGAAGATACTTTCTTTTTTCCATTGTCAAAAATCAGGTGTTCAGATGTGTGTGGATTAATGTCAGGGTCTTCAATTCGATTACGTTGGTCCGTGTGTCGGTTTTTATGCCAGTACCAAGCTGTTTTTTATTACTATAGCTCTATAGTAGAGCTTGAGGTCAGGGATGGTGATGCCTCCAGAGGTTGCTTTATTGTACAGGATTCTTTTAGCTATCCTGGATTTTTTGTTTTTCCATATGAAGTTGAGTATTGTTCTTTCCAAGTCTGTGAAGAATTGTGTTGGGATTTTGATGGGGATTGCATTGAATCTGTAGATTGCTTTTGGTAAGATTGCCATTTCTACTATGTTAATCCTTCCTATCCATGAGCATGGGAGATCTTTCCATTTTCTGATATCTTCTTCAATTTCTTCAGAGACTTAAAGTTCTTGTCATACAGGTCTTTCACTTGCTTAATTAGAACTACCTTCCTTCTTTCCCTACTTCACTCCTTCCTTCCTTCCTTTCCCTCCTCTTTTCCCTTCTTTCCTTTCCTTCCTTTCCTTTCCCTCCCCCCTCTCTTTATTCTTTTCTGAGACAGGGTCTCTCTCTCTCTGTAGTTCTGGCTGTCTTGGAACTCACAGAGATCTGCCTGCCTCCATCTCCCAAGCGCTGGGATCAAAGGTGTGTGCCACCAAGCCCAGCTGGGATCTTGCTTTTCAATGTGGAGTCTCAAGTGAAACTTTCACAGAAAAAAATACAATTGTTTGGAAAGATTTTACAAGAAAATATTTCAATGTTATTTTACTATTCCTTAGATTTCTGCTCCTAATGAATTTGATGTTATGTTTAAACTGGAAGTCCCCAGAATTGATCTACAAGAATATCATGACACTGGTGCTTTTTATCTTGTGAAGTTCAGAAGAATTCCAGGAGGAAATCCTCTGAGTCATTTTTTAGAAGGGGAAGTATTATCAGCTTCCAAGATGTTGTCAAGATTTAGGGAAATCATTAAAAAAGAAGTTAAAAA